CTTCATGTAAGTGTGAAAACAGGAACGCTGTGACCGAAAGCAGCACAAAATAATGCAAAACACATGTATCTGCGAGGACTTCTTCAAACAACGTAACATTCCTCGGAGGGGGCCTTCGGGTCGTTTCGTACAAGTCTAATGGGAACACACAAACCTTCAGACAAAACACACCCGTAAAAAAAATAAAACAGTGAAGTCAATATCGAGGCACAGACGTTTAGGCTCGCAGAGAGGCAAAGCGACAGAGAAATCTCCCAAAGGCTGATGAAAGAAAAACAACGCAAAAGTCAAAGAAATTAAAGAAATTCCTGAATACTTTCTTCATTATTGCATCAGCGTTTTCTAACCGGTACGGGATTGTGCGATTAGTGCGATTAGTATTGTGTAACATCTCTAAATACTTTGGGGCACTGGGTAACCGTATGATTTTTAGTGCTAAAGAGCCAAAATCATGTGCTAAGACACAATAAACCCATTAATCTACACCAAGAGAAAATGTCCACACTATGCAATATGATACAATTAGTGGGCATTTTGTACAGAAGCCCATTAAGTAAATTAAGTGAAATAAACTTTAGATCAATGTTAAACCAACATTCCAAATATGAAATGCAAAAACGTTTTTCATTCATTGAAAACAAACAGGGGAGCAAAGCAACTCTCTAAATTTAGTGCTTAAAATAATAAAAGCTGTATTAGAGTTTACTCATGGTAATGATACATATATATATATATATATAGAGAGAGAGAGAGAGAATAAAAAAAAGAAGAAAACAAAATGCATAAAAACAAAACGGTAGGGTTTCATTGACAGCAGAGCTCGTGTGCGCAATTCTAGCGAGAACCAGAAGACGGAGGGATAAAACAAGAAACATCTGGCAACCGACTCAAAGACATCAAGGACAGAACGATGTCTTATTTACAGACATTTTCTCCCGCCCCCCACCTCCTGGCACTTTTACGAGGTTTAGGACGTCCCGAACGCTCCCCATTCTTCACGGACCGCCGCGTTTCTCACGTCTGAAAGGATAAACGCCTCGCGCGTTTCATTTTCACCGTTTCCCCAGGATCGGCGCACGCCGCTAGCTTGAATTTTTAACCCAAGACGGAGCTGTAACAGTCCAACAGATGAACACTTTAACGTCCCAGAACAACCAGACGGGATTTTCCCGACGAACATCTTCGTAACAACCAACAGGGATGGGAAATGCTCGAGACGAACCTCTGAAATGTGAAGCTACGTGTATGTCGGGGGATGTGATGTCCGTTCATCCTACAGCGATAAGAGACACTTGACTAGCGGTAATCCACCGAAATATCCAGCGTTCCATTTCCAAACGATGTTACGAGAAATGTTCCGAGAGAACTTTTGGCAAAAAAACGTTTGTGTGGATCACATGGTTACGTGAAACCCCTCCCCCTCTCCTCGTCCCGTGTTGCCGCTTTACGAGGTTTTCACCAGGTCATAGACGTAAATGTGAAAGTCGTCATCAAACTTGATGAAGTAGACGGAGGGCTTGGCCTCCACCTGATGGATAACCATGCCAGTTCGTTTAGAGCCATCCTCTTTGGCGTATTCCACCTGCTTCCCCACGAGGCTGTCCACTACCTCTCCGGGTTCACGCTCCGCCGGGGGCGAGTCGTCTGAAACACACGCAAACCATCATTAGTAGAGACAGACATGACTCTTTGAATGATAAAAACGACTCATTTATCTGCACATTTATCTGCACATCCCATAACACATCCCATAACACACTGAAAATAAATAAAGTAAAATCAATAAAATAAAAATAGTAGAATGTAATTGCATTTTCTTTTCAGAAAAAAAATCTACCAAAAGCCTTGTCAGTTAATAATCTCAGTTTTAAAAAATGTTTGGCATTGTTTTTGTGAATTCTGTTAAATGTTATGAAGGCTTGTTCCTGTTATGAAGGCTTGTTCCAGTTGTTCAATTCTGTCTTTTTTTTCTTTCTTGCTATTCTAGCCAAAATTGCTAAATATAAACTCAAAATTAAAAGCTATAATTTTGTTTTTTGAAGAATTGTTAGAGAAAAGACTAAATTCTAAGATGGAATGTTGCAATAAGCCCTTGGTGCAAACAAGCTTCCATTACAATGTCAAAAAATTCTGATATAAACTTGTAATTCTGAGAAGAAAGGTCCAAATTGTGAGATTAAAATGTCGCAATTACATGTAAAATATAATAATAAATAAATCAATAAATATTGATATTTATATATAATATTCAGGGGTTAAAGCAAAAAAAAAAATCCCGAGCCTGAACTTTTTTCCGGGGGTTGGGGGTTGCGGGGGCGGACACATACACAGGGTTATTTGGCAAACAAAAAAGAAGAAACTAACTAGTAACGTATCTGCCATTGCCATTAGCCCTTGACAGGCTCAGACTACAGATTATGGTGGGATATTTGAAACAGCAATACCAAGAAAGTTTACTCACTACAATATGGTGCAAACACATGTAACATTTAGGATGCTTTTGATATCAAGTTTTGCTGGTTAGCTTTGTCCTTGACAGGGTACAAGATGACCTACAATCTAAAACATGAAATTTCTGAAATTGTTTTGTTCAAAAGAAATAATGGTAAATTAAATAATATGAAATGAATACAAAATAGGAAATATACAAAGACAGTTTACTAAAGAAAACTACAGTTCAGTTCAAATAACAACAACAAAAACATTAAAATGGTCCAAGAACTGGTAACTTAAACAGGGTTCGTACAGATACTGCAAAAAAAAATTCCACTTTTGTAATAATTTATTTGTAATTTGCACTACTTTTTTGGTTTTCAATGACTAAAAAACCAAGTACATGGTTTTATTGAACAACATTGTTAAATACATAATGTAATATGCCTATATTATAACAAATACCTGCAGAGGGCGCCAACGGCCTGGTGATGTTTCATGTTTCATGTGATTCAACGACGTTTAAATCCATTTAATTTTAATATTTGGCCACATGCAAAGTCAGAAACTTTTATTTTGAAATAAATCGCATATTTACAAATGTGTTACGTATTCTATAGACTTTCCAGTAGGAGAACTAATGCAAGTGTTTCCTCCTGCTCATGGGCACTGTAATTTCGTGGGAAAAACATGGAAATAATTTGTCGTTTTATTTTGCAAAGATTACGTTTTCCACACATATTTTTATGAAAATGTATATAGTTATCTTCTGGATTATACATCATGTTTTTTATCATCTGAAAAGTGCTGCGATTTCCAAGGCGACTTATTAAAGCAATCAGGTCAAGCGCAAAGCGACAGACATTTGGATTGGTGACAAATGAGAAAGGCAAATGCGTTTGTATTGCGCATTTTCCAGCAACCATGCCGCTAGTTTCAGTTTCGCTTTAAATATTTAGGCTGGGCGTTTATAATACATTTGTATAGTGAATGCCACTATAATTTGTGTTTGTTTTATACTTATATTTTCATTTCTTTTTCTGTTCTGAACACTGCTTCATTTAGTGAGGGGAATATAAATACATGTTTCTAATGTTTGTGAACGTTTCGTTTATTTTACATTATTTATGAATTAAATGATAAAATGTGTCTAAAAATCAAAGCTTCATTTGTCATACACATATTACGCGGCCCCTCACTTGGTGTGGAAAACTTGATGTGGCCCACGAGTAGGCTTGCCGTGATAGACGGTGCTGACGGTGATACCGGTGTTAAGCCGCAACACTGGTTACGTCACTTGCCCACCGCGCCAACGACCCCCACCGTCGTTTTGATTTTTATAGTAATAAAAATCATTTAGTTCAGTAAAAGAACAGACACTACAATTAAAAACTGAACGCGGCTGCTCAATGCAGTTGAACGACAGTTGCATCACAGATCAGATTTCATTTCTCCAGTGAGGAGAGTGAGTCGAGCTGACTGACAAGAAGTGTGGGGTGAGACAGACAAGACGATCGCGGATGATTTAGTTTCGAAACGAGATGCAAAAGCGCCTGTTTGGCAATATTTTGGATTTTGAAAAGCCTGTTGACTTTTGCCGTTTATCTAAGGTGATTTTGGAAGTTTTTTTAAACATTAGTTTCTTATTTAATTGGTTCCACATGGTTTGCTGATTTTTACTTTATTTAAACGTTGTGTCATTTATTTATTTATTTTTACATCAAGGTGTATGCCGT